CACCATCATCATCGTCATCATCATCATGATGGTACCTGTGGGGGAATAGTATCCCGTCTAGGAAGGCAATATGGCCGCCCCTATCCGTAGTGGCTATGATCACGTGGCTACTGCTTTGCGCCTTCGTCAGTGGGATGGCTGGATGGATGCATGAGTGAATGAATGAATGAAAGAGTGAATGAATGAACGAACAAAGGAATGAACGAGCAAACAAATGAGTAAATGAATAAATAAATGAATGAATGAACGAACGAATGAATGAATGAATGAATGAATGAATGAATGAATGAATGAATGAATGAATGAATGAATGAATGAACGAATGAATGAATGAACGAATGAATGAACGAATGAATGAATGAATGGAATGGTCAGCTCACAATGGCCAGGAGCGAACGGATCGTCAATCGAATTGAGAGCCAGTAACGGAATTTTTATATCTGATATCTGATATATTTCATTTCATAATTATTTTAATTATAATGAATGAACGAATGAATGAATGAACGAACGAACGAATGAATAAATAAACAAATGGATGAATTAATGAACGAACGAATAAATGAATGAACAGATGAAAATATCCCAAAGTTCAATGAATGAATAAATGAATGAACGAATGAATGAACGAATGAATGAATGAACGAACGAACGAATGAATAAATAAACAAATGGATGAATTAATGAACGAACGAATAAATGAATGAACAGATGAAAATATCCCAAAGTTCAATGAATGAATAAATGAATGAACGAATGAATGAACGAATGAATGAATGATGAACGAACGAACAAATGAGTGAATGAAAAAAAGAAAACTATTCCCAAAACTGACTTTGTTATCGATACAGGCCTCTTTATAATATTCGACTTTTTCGTTGTAACCGAAGACCTTGCAGGTGAACCTCTCGTCAAAATCACTAATCGTATGACTCTGATTTGTTAGCGGATGGAAATGCATTGAAGTGAATGAATGAATTGACGGATGAATGAATGAATGAATCAATCAATCAATCAATTAATTAATTAATTAATCAATCAATGACTAATGAGTTAAAACAAACAAGTTAGAGAGTAAAGGGATATAACGGATTGAAAAAAATTATTTAAAATTGTATGGATGAATAACTGAACGGTTGAAAAAATGAATGAATGGGTGAATGAATGATATAAATATAAAAAAATGAATGAATGAATGAATGAATGAATGAATGAATGAATGAATGAAAGAAAAACAAATGAGAAGCATATTGACCTTTCTGAGATGATCAAAGTCAATCTTGCCAGCAAACAATTTTTCGTACCTGCAGATGAAAATGTGTCATTCATCGTTATCACAATCAGGAACAACATTACTCAGCCCTTCAATCATTCTTTCTTTCATTCATTCAATTCCTTTACTCATGTATTCACACATCTCATCACGTGACTGAGAAAATTGTCAAGTTACATAGAAAAGCATTTCAAAAATAATCACACTCGACCATCCATTCATCCATTCGCTAATTCATTTATTCATTTATTCACTCACTCACTCACTCACTCACTCACTCACTCACTCACTCACTCACTCACTCACTCACTTACTCACTCACTCACTCACTCACTCACTCACTCACTCCTTCACTCATTCACTCACCTCATGACAGTACTAATAAGATGATTAGTGAGAACTCTATTAAACAAGAAAGCATTAAGGGGCATCTCCAAGGATTTGGCAGCATCAAAAATATTCCAAGGGGCAGAAACCACAATGGCCGCTTTTAGCGGGCATAAATGGCCCATTCGAGCCGTATAGTTGGTCACTATTAACCTGATGATGATGACGATGATGATGGTGGTGGTAATGATTATGATGATGGTGGTGGTGATGATGATGATGGCAGTGGTGACGATGTTGATGATGATAACTCTGGCTATAATCCTAATAAAGCTATCATTATTAAAATGCTGCACTCATAGACTCGGTGTATGAATTGGAAAATTTAACCACCATCGTCTTCGCCATCATAACTATCATCACCATCATCATCATCACCACCATCATCATCATCATAGCCATCATCACCATCGTCATCATCACAACTATTGCAATCATAGTCGTCGTTACCATCATCATCACCTTCATCATCTTCCTCATCATCATCATCAAGAACGCCACGATCACTATCATAACCTCACCCTCCGAGGGACACGCCGACCGCCATGACACTGGAATTGGGGAATTTCCAGGAAACGTGGGTGACGACCTCGTGAAGGTCATTCGTGTAAGTGGCACAGTACGTCTTCGGAGTCTGATGATGATGATGGAGATGGCGGAGAAGATGGAGATGGTGGTGGAGATATATTATATTATTATATTATATTATTATTATGATGATGATGATGATTATTTATATTATTATTTTTATTATTATTATTATTATGGTGGTGATGATGAATGATCATGACGACGATGAAGATAAGTAGGAGAATGATAACGATGATGATGATGACGAGGATGACGGTGATGCTGATGGTGAATCTAAACAGACAGACAGACAGACAGACAAACAGACGAAGACATGGAATTAATTTAATTAATTTTTAATTTAAAATGCTCCAAATATATCATACATTGGTTCAACCCAATATTCGGACAAAAATAGTGAGAGAAAATGGATAGAAGAGAGAAAGAGAGACAAAGAGCTGTTGTGAGAGATTTTGAGAGAGAGAGAGATAGATAAATAGAAAGATAGAGAGAAAGAAAGAAAAAAAGAGAGAGGAGAAAGAGAGGAAGAGAGAGAGAAAGCGAGAGATGAACTAATATTAGAATTGTTTGGTTTTTAACTGTGAACTGTTTATGCCAGCTCCATCAATATTTTTTCATTCAATTTATTTTCTATTTTTTTTTAAGTTTAAATTCAAATAAATTAAGGAAGATAGAGAGAGAGAGAGAGAGAGAGAGAGAGAGAGAGAGAGAGAGAGAGAGAGAGGGAGAGAGAGAGAGGGAGAGAGAGAGAGAGGGAGGGAGAGAGAGAGAGAGAGGGAGGGAGAGAGAGGGAGGGAGAGAGAGAGCAAAAGAGCAGAGCCAGAACAATTATACAACAGATCAGCATTGTAATAAATTAAAGCTACTCTTGAATGTAAGACACACAGTAAGGGATGGTTCCATAAAATGAACCCTGCTACATAGTTATTAACCTTCTTTCCTGCACGCACACACACACACTCACACACACACGCCTGCGCATATATATATATATATATATATATATATATATATATATATATATATATATATATATATACACACACACATACACACACAAACATATACATACACAGACAGACACACATTACATACATATTAAATAATGGGTTTTCTAACAAATTTCATAAATTCTATTTGCTATAAGTATTATTTTACCTTTAATTCAACACCACCATTCTCTCTATTATTGAAGACCACACATCTGTTTTCAATTAATATATTAATATGAGAGATAGAGAGAGAGAGAGAGAGAGAGAGAGAGAGAGAGAGAGAGAGAGAGAGAGAGAGAGAGAGAGAGAGAGAGAGAGGGAGAGAAAAAAAAAGAGAGAGCGAGAGAGAGAAAAAGAGAGAAAGAATGAGTGAGAATAAGATTAAGAAAATAAAATAAATCAAATAGAAAAAGAGATTGAGAAAGAAGGAAAGCCAGAAATACTAAAAAAAAAATACTACTACTACTGACTGCTGCTACTGCCACTACTACTACTGCCACTACTACTACTACTACTACTACTACAACAACAACAACTACTACTACTACTACATTACTACTAATCTTACTACTAATAGCTATAGTAATAAACACAGACCTGTATTTCATATGATAACATTCATTGACAAGATGAAGAACATAGCTCTCTTTGCTAGTACCTTATTTTAAGAGTGAGTGTTGATATTTTTAATGTTCATCATCATAATCATCATTATTTATCACCATCATCATCATCACAATCATCATCATTATTATTATTATCAACTGACCTATTAACCCAGGTAGAATGATGATAGTCGGTCGATCTGATAACCCCTCGTTGTGATTGGCCGGCTCGAGAAAATGAACCGACCAATCAAGAGCCACCACACCACCGTCTGGCAAACTTAGTAACTCTCTAATAGAAAATAAATAGATATATGGATAGACAAATGAATGAAAAAATGAATAAATAAAATAAATGAATGAGTGAATGAATAAAAAATGAAATACCTGTTATAAATGATATTAGTACACCTATTGAACAAACTCCTAATAATCGTCTGACACCTCGCTTCAATGCACCAGATAGTGGGGTAAAATTTCTCAGTCAAAACAGGTATGTGCAGTTCCACAAATTTCATAAATTTATCATTGCAATGCAATTGCGGCCTCTAGTAGAAAAATTAGCATGGATGGATTGTGATGGTAAAATTTGCTTTATATTATAAATAAATAATTGAATAATCTATTAATTGGTTGAAAATCACTAAACATTATTATAGTTATCAGTTATATAATAAAATATAATGCCACGTTTGATAAGCAAAAAATCTCTTCAGAGTGATCTTATTTCAATTAAATTTGTTTTAAAGAGTAAGGTATTAAAGGCTTTTTCAAATGATGTAAAATTAATTAAGGTACAACAAAAAGATTTCAAAATTGTAGGCATAGATAGAGAATAGACACTACAAAAAAAAGAATCAACTTCAATTTCAATCTGAAATTCAACATTCAACAAAACTGAACATAGGCTCTCATTTACATTTATTAATGAATGTATGCAAATGAAACATGCATACAATTTTACCAATAAATAATCATAAAACTAATTTAATAAAATTAATTTCAATTTAATTTAATACCTTAACAACCCAGCCTAAATAATACAAAATGTAGGCACCAGCACAGGAAAAAAACAGTGATCTATAAAATGAATAATTCTCATCATAAGAAGATGATTCCATGATATAGTGGCGTTGAAACAATTGAATTATTTTGTAATTTTAAATAATTTAATAGAACTAGTTTATTAAAAATAAATTTAAAATGCATAAATTTAAAAACTTATTCCCTAAATTAAAATGCAGAGACGTCTGATACGTTAGAATGAATAGACGGATACACACAAAATTATGGAAAACCAGTGAAAAACTAAATCTTGGAAAAGCTCAGCAAACATTGAGGGATTGTTGATAAATGGCGTAGAAATTTGTTCCTCAAAGTTTCAAGTCGTATTAAACATTAAAAATTATTTACAGAAATGTATAATACTTACATATATTTTTATTTTTGGTGCCTCTCAAGCCCATTCTCAAGATATCGAAGAAAGATCTGCGTTGGAGTGGAAACTCTCGTTGCTTGTTTTTCCCCGACGTGATATAACAACAACCGGCAATGCAACCTCATCCATCACGTTCGCCAGCACACGCTGCGACGATCGGGTGGGAAAGTATTGTCGGATTGAAAATCCTAGCAATTGAAAAGACTAATAAATAAAACACCACGAAATAAGGAGTTGATTTGTGCGGGCTTTATAAGAAACTGCGATAACTATTCTGATAGGTATTCGGGCTGCTGATGAGTCCCCGGTAGGGACGAAACACGTGTCCAGCCTGTCCAAACGAATACTATTCTTTTCTTTTTCCGCTCACTGCTCTTCTGGTTCAGTGTTCTAGTTCTTGTATCCTCTGCTCTTTCTGCGACCACGAGCTCTTTCAAATTTTCTTCCCTTAGCTCTGACATAAGGCTTGGTGTGGCTGTGTGGCACTCCAGGAGCCAATCCAAAGTGTCTGTAAGCTTTCCTTGCCTTTCTTTAACCTTGCAAAAAAAACAGTATTTTGGCCTTTTGAAGCCTTCAATGCCAATTGATCAAATGTAAGGATCTCACCGCCGGCTTTTAAGATTCTAGTACGGGCTGTGTCAGTGACACGAAGTGCAACTAACTTCAACTTCGGAACAGTGTACAATCTCTCGTCATCTGTAACAGTGCCAACAACTACAGCCAACTTATTTTCACGGCCTTGTTTTTTCATGTGGCGTGACAATCTTGACAGAGAGAGAGGTGGCTTGTTGGTGCTCGACTCATGATCAGACGCTTGAAGACAATTTGATTGAATTTGGCATTTGTCCTTCTTGCCAAAAATTTGTACAACTTGACTAAATATCGTAAGTAAATATCGTCAGTCTTGGGTTCCTTACGGTGAACCTTCCTGTCATGTTTGTGACAAATGTCGATACCCATTGCTGATGATTACCGAAAAACCCGGGCAATGCAATTAGACAAAGAGAAGTTTGACCGTAAAATGTCGCAAGAAGAAGGGCTGTTGTCTTTGTGTTGAAGCTATGTATAGTAAGTCGTCACATGCTTAGATTAGGGGTGTGCGGTTCAACAGTATAAAGTTGTATAGAGTTATATAGGGTAATATGAAGTTATATTGAGTTGTATAGAGTTATACAAAGTTTTACAGGGTTATATAAAGTTATTTAAGTTTAAAGAAATATAGATTATATTAATTTATATAGAGTTATGTAGAGTTATATAGAATTATAAAGAGTTATATATGATTATAGTAAGTTTTATAGAGTGAGAACATAAAGGCAATCGTAAATCGAGGCTTTTAGTCATGGATATATATAATATATATATTATATCCATGCTTTTAGTACTTAGAAAATAAATTAGGCTGTGACTTAGACATAAATGTGCAAATTTTATATAATATTTTTTTATATGAAATGAATAAAATTACTTAATCATGAAAAAATAAAAATTGAGATTAATTAATTGGAAAAAATGAGTAATTTAATCATGATTAATTCCAGATTTTAAATAGGCGTTTCTAAGAATTCGCGTGACCTTTACCTAACGTCATAAATGGCTAAATTAATTATTTTCCCATAATACGGATGTAAAATTATATTTTAAAATAATTTTTTATTAAAGTTCTTTTTTTGATAAATTGAATTAAACATTTTAAACGAGTAAATTTTTTGAATGAGTTTTTAGGATTTTAGCTAGATTTTTTTAACTTGCCAGTAGAGTAGAGTAAATTATTAGTTAAAAAATTGAATTAGGGAGGAACTGACAGAACTGTGCAATAATTCAGTCAGTATTTTATTTAAGGAAAATAATTTTTTAATTCTCACATTTTATGCCAGAATGTTTTTAAACTTTTTAATCCGTTTTATTTTTTTTCATTATTTTTTAAATTTTTTTTAATTTAATTTTTTTTACTAGCAATTGCTATCAATTTTTACTTAATTTCTCTATTGACACTTTTATATTTAATTAATTTTATCTTATTTATAAATTATTTTTAATTTATTTAATTATTAAAAATTGAAAAAAAATGAGCCATTTTTCTTTGACACACACACACAGACAAATTGTCAAGTTTTTGAAAAAAAATCATGTCTACCCAAGGTTTTTATTATTATTTATTGTTCAGCCTATATAATAATTATAAATAATAATTATAAATAATAATTGTTAATATTATAATAAAAACCATATAATATTTTCCATATAGTCCAAAATTCACCAAGAAGCATTAGCAAGTTTGCAACTGTAAGTTCTTCCATTCATTAATCACTAACATCATCATCACCATCGTCTTCATTATCATTATCATCACGACTTTCCTAATTCTTAATCATCATTATCATGATCGTAGCCCCCGGCCAGTTTGTGTAAATTATGCAACAAGAGGGTTTATGAAATGGAGAAGATCACAGCCGACCAGCTCGTTTTCCATAAGTCTTGCTTTAAATGCACTCATTGTTCTAGGGTTTTAAGGTTCTTTATTTTATTTCAAAATTGTTTGTCAGCAATAGTTTTTTGTTTGCATATATTACAATATTATCATTGTTCCATGTTTTGGGTTAATAATTATTACTATTTTTATTAATTATAATAATAATTATTTTTTAATTATAGCTTAGGAAATTATTCAGCCATAAGGGGCCAGTACTACTGCAAGCCTCATTTTATATCTCTCTTCAAAGTCAAAGGTCATTATTATTATTATTATTATTTATTATTATTATTAATAATATTTTTCATATTATTTACGATTGATAATGATGATAATTAAATATTATCTTCTCAGGAAATTATGAAGAAGGGTTTGGGGCTGATAAAAAAGGTTAGGGTTGTGTGTGTGTGTGTGTGTGTTTTTTCTGTTTGTGAGTGTGTGTTTGTGAGTGTGTGGGTAAGTGTGTGCGTGTGATTGTGTGTGTCCGTATGTGTGTTAGTATTAGTATAATAATAATATTATTATTTAGCTATTTATATATTACAGCTAGCATTCTTGGACCAGTGTCACACGCAAAGTAAGTGATGGTGACGATGATGTTAGTGATGATGATATTGATACAGATGATGATGTTGATGATAGTGATGGTGATATTGATACAGATGATGATGGTGAGAATGATGGTGAGGATGGTGGTGATGTTGATAATTATGTTTATACAGTTAATTAATTGGAGGATCATTCTGATATCATTACACTCATAAAAAATAGCACCAATAAACCCAATAATTACTTCAATCTTTCAACAAGGGCATCAGGCGCTGATGATCAGGTATAATTATTCTAACAACAATAATAATAACAATAATTATAACTATAATAATAACAACAATAATAATAATAAATTAATTAATTTAGTATTATGATTTAAGCTCACATATTTTCTCCGATTGCTGTTGCATGTTAGATCTCGTTCGATTGTTATTATCATCGTTATTATTATTGTTATTATTGTTGTTATTATTATTATTTTTTCTCCCCAATTAACCGCCCCTATAAATGTCAGGAGGGCTTAATAGAGAAGATTGATAATAATAATAATGATAATAATAATAATAATAATAATAATAATAATAATAATAATAATAATAATGCTAATACTACTGCTGTCGCTAATAGCAGTATGAATATCTTTGAAGCTGATGATGATGATGATGTTAACAAGAATAATAATAATAATTGTTATTATGATGATGATATTAATATCTCTAACAATGTTTTAAACAACGTGAGAATTAACGAAAATTCGGTACCTACTACTACTACTACTACTACTACTACTACTACTACTACTACTACTACTACTACTACTACTACTACTGTTGTTGCTGCTGCTGCTACTACTACTACTGCTACTACTACTGCTACTACTACTGCTACTGATAATAATAAAATCCCAAATGATGCAGCTACCGATGATGAGGATGAGGATGATGATCGAGATGTGTTTTATGATGAAATCTCTAGGAATAAAATTAGTTTTAATAATAATAATAAAAGTGATAATAATAATAATAATAAAAGTATTAATAATAATTTTAAAGATAATAACGACGATGATGATGAGGATAAAAGCAGCAAAGTTTATAGCGTAATGAGATCCATTCTGTTGTTCTCAAATTACAACAACAATAATAATATAATTAATAATAATATTAATGTAATTAATAATAATAATAATAATATAATTAGAAATAATAAAAACAACAGCAAAATCAAAAGATTTAGTTACATTAGTAACAGCAAGAACATCAATAATAATAATAATAATAAATTCAAGAGAAACTCTAGCTATGACGCTGACGTCAATAGGAATAATAATAATAACGCTACCATTATCGCTGCTTCTACGGCTTCTGTTGCTACTGCTGCTACTATTGTTGCTACTACTACAAGTACTGCTACTGCTGCTACTACAAGTACTGCTGCTACTACTACCACTACTGTTGATAATGATTGTAATAATAATAATAATAATAATAACAATAATAATAATAATAAAAGTAATAATAATAATGTAGATGATGGTATCAGTAACTTGACTAGGAGCGACGACGTTAAGACTAAATTTGTGATGAGGTTTGCTTCGAACCAGCAACAACAACAACTTCAAAAACGTCATTTTAAACAACAACTGCAACAACCTCCTCCTCATCATCATCATCATCAACCTCTGATTAAGGTTAGATCAAACAGCGTTAATGATAGTAAATTGTTCTTCGAAAGACTAGCCGGTAGCACTACTACTACTACTATTACTACTAATACTACTACTACTACTACAGCTGCCTCTGCAGCTACTACTGCTACTTCTAAAACTTATACTACAGCCACTAGTACTGCTAATTATATTAAGAACCCTAATGTTCTTATCGCTAAAGATACGGTCGACAATAGGAACAAAGACATTAAAAACATCAATAACAAAGTCATCAACAACAAAGACATCAATATAAAAGACGTCAACAACAAAGACAGCAAAGACAACAACAACAAAGACATCAACAACAAAGACACCAACAACAAAGACGTCAAAAACAAAAGCATAATCACCAGCAATGATGAAGATCTCAGAAGCAACAACAAAGACACACAAAACTACAACAACAAAGACATCAAAAACAGCAACAAAGACATCAAAAACAACAACAAAGTCACCAAAAACAGCAACAAAGATATCGAAAACAGCAACAAAGATATCGAAAACAACATCCCTATCGACGAAAATACCAAAGACAATAAGAACAACAACATCAAAAACAACAATAAAAACATAAACAACAACAATAATACTAACAGAATTAACGACTACAACAACATCAACTACAACAACAACCAAAATATTAATAATTATGATGATAGTTATTTCCCCACCAAGGGTTCCACAAAACTATTGCTAGCCATCTTCACAGAAATGATTAATCATAATAACAACAACAACAAAAACAACAACAACAACAATAATAATAACAATAACACTAATAACAGCCGCAACAATAGCAACGACAATAATAACGTTTATAACACAGTGAGTCAGTTCTTCTTAAATGGTTCATTCATTTATTTAATAGTTAGTCACATCATTCTATAGCTTTTTTTCATTAAGTTAATTCCATGAATAAATAAATTTGTGAATGAATGGATGAATGAATGAATGAATGAATGAATGAATGAATGAATGAATGAATGAATGAATGAATGAATGAATGGATAGGCAGCTGAATAAATTAATATTTAGTAAATGATGAATGATTTAGTAATAGAGAAAACTAGAGTAGAAAATGAAAGAGTGAGAGAGGAGAGAGAGAGAGAAAGAATATAATGAAAATAATCATAATTATAATTATATTCATAATTATAACATGAAATCATTATCAATTCTTCTCTTTGCAGACAGATTTTCATGCAAAAGCTAACTATCTCACAATGTAGCAGTAGCAACATCTAGAGACTTTATTATTGTTATTATTATTTATTATTTATTATTATTTATTATTATTATTAATTATGCTTCTTTTTATATATTTGTTTGTTTAGTTTTTATTCCTCGCTTACTTTGCTTTTTATCTTGCGTAGGTTTGATTGGCTAGAAATTTAGATAGTTTTTTTTAATTTCGTTCGTTTATTCGTTTATTCATTCTCATATTCATTTATTCATTCATTCATTTATTGACTCATTTTTTCATTCATTCATTTATTGACACATTCTTTCATTCGCTTAGCTATTTATCTTTTTTACATGTTTATAAAACTCGTACCTACATATAATTCATAGTATAATTTCCTTATAATTACAATGCATGGATCCGTGCATGTTTTTAATTACGCGCTCCATAATTCATAACTTAATACATCTTAATTCATTTTTTTGTAATATCTGTTACGCTATTACTCTCTCTTTTCTCTTTCTCTCTCTCTCTTCTTTCTCTCTCTTTCTTTCTCTCTTTCCCTTTACCTCTTTATCTCTCTCTCTTTCTCTTTCTTTCTCTCTCTCTCTCTCTCTCTCTCTCTCTCTCTCTCTCTCTCTCTCTCTCTCTTATTCTTTCTTTCTGCTTACCATCTCCAATTCAACAACATTGCTAATTCAGCCTAACAATCACTCCAAACAGAAGGCAGCCGTTGATAAATCTCACGCTGGAGCTATGGCGGTAGCTACAGCAGCTACTGCTGAAGCCGGTCATCATGGGATAAACATTGAGAAGCAAAAGCTATTGTTTGAAGGGATGCAACAACAACATCAACAGCAGCAACAACAACAACAACAACAGCCACACCGACTTAAACAAGCGAAGCCTCAAAATGTCATCGCTGAAGATGGCGACACAAAACAAACAATTGATGACGTCGACGGCCACAGAAGCGGCGTAAAGACCAAACAACAGCCGCAGAAGCAACTGCACCAGGAACAACAAAACCATGACGATGATGCTAATGATAAGGACGACGACAACGGTGTCCATGTGGATGGTCATAAGGGTGACGATGAAGTAGATGACGATGATGATGATAATAATAATAATAATAATAATAATAGCGGTATCAAAGCTGATGAGGCCGACGCTGATGCATTTGCTAAATTTGAAAAAGTTAATCTAGACGAAAATCAAACGAAAGAGAATAATAATAATGATAATAATGATGATGGTGATGATGATGATGGTGTTGGTAATGATGATGATGATGATGATGATGGCGGTAAAAAATAGATGAATAACTAAGTGCGCTCACATTACGTTTTAATCACCTTGATGGCTCGAATGTTTTGTTTAGTGTTTTGTCTATGATTCAAG